CCTGCTCCCGCTTCCGCTCCTTTATGAATCGTTTCGAGGACACGGAGCTCCAGATTGTCATTGTCGGTGCTGGCCGAGCTGATCTCGTGGCTCAGCGCGGAGCCCAGGAAGACTGAAAATGAGCAAGATTCACAGGGAGGTCCCCAAGTGAACGCAACCACTTCATAGCATGTAGCAGTTTTGGCTGAAAAGGTCACATTGACATGGTTTTGCATTCCACTACCGGGCCATGGGCAAGACTCTCCCTCTCACCACCCACAGAAGCATGAGCTAGCATGCTCATAACCACAACAACCCCCGCAGTTCCAAAAAACACTAACATGAGGGTCCCTGCGTTCAAGTGGGGAGGAGGGGTGCTCTGACAAAATAGGAACGTTGAAATGACAAACGCCAAGTAGAGGCAACTTCGGACAAAGGTCCACCTTCACAGTCAGGTGGCCTAGCGCGCAATATGCCACCGCCAAGTAGACGCAGCTTACATGCATCCGCAAGCCAGAAGCAGCCGCACGAAGCCCACAGTGGCGGACAAAACACGGCCCCTATAGTGCATCTTGATTGTCACTTCCGCCACAACACATTCTAAAAGCAAGCGACAGCCAGGCCAATGTAGATAATGTAGAGATGAGAACAATGGATGAAAAGCTAGCCGCGGCCAAGGACCAAGGCCCTTGAGAAGCAGTTCCCTGACAAGCTCTTCTACGCAGGCAGGAGTTAAAAGATGTTGAAAGCATGCGAGGCGAACATGTGCCGTGCCTGGCGCTTGATGTGCACAGGCTGGATGGGCCCGGAGCGCTATGCCCTGCTCGCGGGCTGCGACTTCACCCTGCTGCCGTCCAGGCTGAGCTTTGCCAAAATGAGCGCGCTGACGGCTGAGTGTACCCAGAAGTGCCAAAGGTGGGAGCCTTGTGGACTTGTGCAGATGGAGGTGGGGCTGTCCTTAACTTGCCGTTGAGTTCGCACCTGAGAGATCTTGGCAGGCCATGCGCCTGGGAACGCTGCCCATTGTTGCCCCCACTGGTGGCCTGAAGGACACCGTGGAGGCCCAGAGTAGAGTGCGCTGGGATGCGATGCCACGCATGTTCGCATGCTGTGCGCACAGGATGGCCTCAACGGTCTCTGGACCGACAGCGAGATGACCGTGGAGGCGGTCGTGGACGAGGAGTCCGTGGCCTCGATCGGCAAGGCCCTTCGCCGGGCCGCGAAGCTCTTCCAGTCGGAACCTAGCAAGGCAGGGCATGGCAGTGCAATGGCAGCAGGGCGGCAGGGCCCAAGTTTTTAAAGGTCTCCCGCTCGGACTCCTGCGCGTCAGGTCGTTGAGATGAAGAAGGCCGCGATGGCTGCGGCCGCGGAGTTCACCTGGAGCAACGCAGCGCTGCAGTACGAGGCCTTCGGGTGTGATGGAGCTGACAGGAGTCTTCGCAACATACCCTGCAATGCCCTGCAAGATGCTGCAGGCCATCTTCCAAGAACTGAACGTCAAGGACGTGCTGCCTCAGTGCGGCGGCCAGACAACAGTCACGCTGGAGACAGACAAGCAGGTCTGTTAAATGCGCCCCGGTAGCACTAAACACCAAGCAACCCTTGAAGTTCGCATGCAAGACATCATGAGACGTTCTTGACTTCTTTGCTGCAGGTCAGCGGGCAAAAATCTTTCGCTGCAGAGCGACTTTTTTCCAGTAATTGACGGGGCCCTTCTGGCTTCCGAGACGTTCCGTCGGGCGGCTGCCCCACAGAAGGGAGCTGACGGCGCCAAGGGCCCCGTTTGGCAGAACAGAACCTGCCAGGAGCTCATGTGGTCCAAGATGTTCAACTGCTACTGTAGCAAGGAGACAGTAGCAGCTCAGTAGCAAGCTTATGTTAATGACGATTGCAAGCTGGGACCAGTTTGAGGCTCGAATACGTTTCATTTCACGGAAGAGGCATTTCTTCCGTCAGTGCAGTCTATCAGTCTATCTTTGATCCGCGCTGTTTCCCTGACGCTGGCTTTGCAAACTTTCTGCATGCCTGTGTCTGTGGGTGCCGCAACGGGAGGAGTGCTCAGGTGCACTCTTCCTTGGCGCGCGCTGTGTTCATGTGTTTTCCACGCTGTTCTCAGGCCGAAGGATGAGGGCATGCCTGTCAAATGATTTAATTTGTACAGTGTACACTCCGTAGCATTAGCTCCGTCAATTTTCAAATTGTTCATGCTTGAGACGAGAAAGCTTTAGATGAGGTGCGGGCCGTTCACCTCACATACCCCAGCCGCCAGCCACTTTTGCCTCAACCTTGTTTAATTCTTGTGCTATCTTGTGCTGATAAAGGCAGCTACCTGCGATGCTGCTACAACAGAGCTGAAGGCAAGCCTGCACCAGGGTACCTAATGGCCCTGACTTCATTCCTTCTTGAGCAAAAAGGCAAAAACCTCAATCAGATCTTGCTGCGCACGCATCATCTTGGCAGCAGTGGTGCTTCATTGTAGAGCACATGACGCGGACATGACATCCTTTTGATCCTTTTGGAGGCCTTGGAGCAGCCAATTGTTTCGAAGCAGGGTAAGCGTAGGTCTATTGTTGGGTTCCAATCGTGACCTTGTTGGTTGAGGCCGGAGTGCCCGCACTGCCGCAAGCCCGCCGCAGACGTGGCAGCTGCACAGCACCTGGCAGAAGTTGTCGAGAACTTTGATGTGCAGGTGGGGGTATTGGCGCCATGAACCTGCTGCACCCTGAACCGTACAAGCGGTGAATGTGCATTTCTACTGTAAGCCATGGTGGAGTAGAATCTCCAGTAGGGCCAGTACGGTCCATGTGTGTTGTAGGTATCAAAGGCCATAGTACTCATCGTACAGTAGTTGGGACCCAAACACCATTGATAATGGTCCATTATCTTTCAATGTAACTTGGCTAGCATGTGGTTATGGTTCGGTTTCAGAAATGCAGGGGCAGTCGATAGAAGATGCGGATCAAGGCCGGGT